ATACATGTATTGTAGGTTGTAGGTATTACAATTTTGATATTATATTTATATGCACTGACATTTTTTTTAGATGTTATTACTTCTTTGAAATTACGAGCAAATTTTGCTGACATCATGGACTATTAATTATATTTTTATTGTTTCTTAAAAAAAATTGTCATATACATATGTATACTTTTAATAGTTTTTTTTTGTTTAAGTTTTAGCATGTACCATTTTATTTGTACCATTTTAGTATTTTTTAATATGAACTAATAAATAAATATTTATTGTTTTTTTGCTAATATGAACTAATAAATAAATATTTATTGTTTCTGTAAAAAATTGTCATATAATATACTTTTAAAAGTTTTGTTTTGTTTAAGTTTTAGTATGTATCATTTTATTTTTTCAAATTGTCTTGTAATTGGGATTTGTACCTGTTAGACAATAAAGGATTATTTATTTATTTATTTAAAAATCTATACACAAATCTTATCTGGTATACCAGGTGTTTCTGAAAAGTGGCTCACTCCTATACATTTTTAATTTTATCAGATAATAAACAAGATTTGGTACGATAGTATCCCCCCATCTATCCCACCTTCGGTATTTTTTTACTTTATTCGATAAAAAATGACACTTGTCAAAATGTCAACTTTTGACATTTTCGCTTATGGTATAATATTTGAAATTGTAACATGCTGTTCATAATGATAATTTGACTCGAAATACCAATGTCAACTTTTGACATTCTCGCTTAAAAAAAACGTATTTTAAATTTGACTCTAGAGCGCCATGGCTGTGTTAAAAACACTGATTTTTGATCAAGGAACCTTGGAAAAATAGATTTGATCGTTTAATGTTTTTCGTGCCTTTTCCTGGTCAGTTAAAAGATCGTAGTTCTAATCATAACTCAATTTTTTCAAATAGAACGTTAGCATGTTTGGAAAAAACATTTTTTAACGTATAATTTGGTACCACACACTTAGTATTTCGAGTTAATATGTCGTTAAATTTATGGTCATGGCACTCTAAATTGAAATTGAAAATGCAATTTTTTTAATTGAAAATGTCAAAAGTTGACATATGATAAGTCATTCTATTCAAACCGTCATTTTCTATTAAGTAAAAAAATATCGAGTGTGCCACCATTAGAAATCAGCAGCTGAGCTGTAGTCATTTCCAGTGAAACAGGAAGTGATTGAAAACATTTTAATAACGTCAATCAATCCCAATTTATGTCATATAGTAACATACAAATCTCTTTTTTATATCTGAAAGAGTAAAAAAGTTATAGGGTTACAATAGCAAGTGTATAGCCACTTTTGAAAAACACCCGATATATAGAAGATGTTTTTGGCATTTAGGACATTTTTCGTAATTTTTTATGTAAATTTTTAAGTTTATGACCACTCTGTGACACCAGTTTTTTCGATCCTAAGCAGGGTTGGAAAAAATCATGATTTAAAAAAAAATTAAAAAAATCAGATTTTTTCGATTTAAATCAGATTTTTTTATTTAAATCAGATTTTTTTGATTTTAATAGAAAACATTATTTAAATCGGATTTCCAAATAATTAGGACTTAATTCCAATTAAAGTCCTATCCTAAATCGCTAAATCTTCATAACTCTGCCCAATACTGACAACATTAACAATTCTACTTCGCGTGTCATTTTCGGTCACCAATATATTCCGCAAAAAAAGTCGCTCGCATCAGATCAAAAGGATTTTTTTTTTGAAATGCCACAAGAGTATTAATTTTTGTCATTTCAACGTCTAGGCATAAAAGCAAAGCACTTTTACGCCTAAGCACAAAAGTACAAAAATATATTCTTAAACTGATTGCTGATATTAAGCGTCAATTTCAACGAGTGTACAAATTGTTACTCGATTACTTTACAAGGCATTACTTTTTATATTATTTGCAACGTTTGAAATTGATCAAAAAGTTATTTGTAATGTTTAATTTGTAAAAATATAGTATATTCTACTCAAAGTAAAAATGTACTTTTGTGCCCCTGTTTACGCTGGTCCGTCAAACGTACAACCTCGTCAAAAAGGTGTAATTTTTACTCCTTACAACAATACACTATTGTTCGGAAATAGTTTTAAGTCGAGAATGAAATTAGTATTATCTATTGTCAAAGTGTAAAATAAAGAAATATAAAACAGCATATTTTCTGACAACGATTTGAAGATATAGTCTAACATCAAAAGAAGCATTTTCTGCACAAGAGGTTGCGAATGAAATGTACTCGAACAGCATTTTTCTGTCACTTGTACTTTGTACATAAATTTCAAAATAAATCTCTGCCCTTTAGAAGTTAGAAGTCTAATGGATTCACACGAAATTACTTCAAAAATCGGTCCAACATTTTAATTGATGAATAGATATGTAGTAGGTATATGTGTTATACAAATCATTTTTTTTTATAGCTTTATAACATTTACAATTCTTTTTTCGATTTATTAAACGTATTTAAACGTTACAATAGCAAGTGTAACCTTTTATTTAACGAATAGATATAGGGTATAGTCTATAAAATGAATAACTTTGAATTTTCACCGTTATTTTTTACCAACAGGGTAAATATAAAATCCCTCTACCAAAAAAGTTACTGATATTCTTTAAATTGTGTCCCTGAACGAATCAGATAGGTAACTCTTTTTACTTTCGAGAAATAGAAAAGGAAATAATAAAACAAGTGACAGTTCTTCCTCTTCTTCCAAAAATCAACACGAAATGTCATAATTGTCAAAAGTAAAATATCATCAGCTTTTGACATTTCTAAATATCAGACCAATTCCGTCTCTAATAGAACAGCCTCGGAGCGAGATTTATGACGTCACGCTAGTTAGATACTACGGATTAATAAATATGTTGGAGAATACATGGAAAACATAATTATTCCTCGTATTTTTGGTTTGCATTTAAAAATGATATAGTTTACATGAAATATACATAATATACAGTTAATAAATACGCAGAAAGTAGTCTCGACTGACTACATATAGTTCCTAGTTAATATATACCATATATATATATATATATATATATATATATATATATATATATATATATATATATATATATATATATATATATATATATATATATATATATATATATATATATATATATAATAAATAATATTTTCTTGCTTAGCTGTGTATTTTTTTCTAATTTCGAAAAATCGAAAGTAGAGAAAAATTAAAAAATAAAAAGTAAAAGAAAAATTGTTTTGCTTGTCGTAAAGGGGGAGCAAATTTCTCATCAAAGAGCTAGAGATTTTTTAGTAAAAGTAAAGCAAAACCGCAAAATTAAGTATGACTTAATATCTCAAAATCTCAGTTTACAAAAAAATACTTAATTATTACGATAACACGTATTTAAATTTAATTTAGGGTTCATAATATTATCTATTTATTTCTTTTTTCTTAAATGATAATAAATTTTATTGATTGAGTTACATTTTCTAGAAACTGACCAGTCTCAATTTGTTTGAATGAAATTCATTACCCTGAATTTCATTCATTTGAAAAGGGGAAGATGTGGTGCAACCAAATCAAATGCTTATTCAGTAAACTCTGCTAAGGCAAGAAAATATTATTTATTAATATACACTAAAGCTGTAAGAATTTTGTTCATTTCATATATTTGAGCGGGCCGAAAAACGCTCTTTGCCATCTTTTGACGGGAGATGCACTAATATCTCACCGACACTTTACGACATCGTCTGTTGATATAGAAGAAGTTTGCTTGCCGTATCGGTGAGAACCAGCCCCTGGACAGCCCACCTGATGAAGGGTTTATGAAAGAAAATATTATTTATTAATATACACTAAAACTGTAAGAATTTTGTTCATTGTATATTAATAAAAATACTTTGGCAAATAAACTACCAACTATACAAATGCAGCAAATGTTTTACAATATACAAATGAATGAATAGGTACATAAGATAATGGGTAAAATGTAAAATATATTTTAAATTTTGAGGTTTGAAAATCGATCTAATTTAACACAAAAAAAACATTCAATACCTACTAGTGATGTATTTATTATTTAATAATATTATTTTTTTAGTAGGTTGTGATTTTTATGATGATAATAATAATAGCTCCCGCATATAGCGTTTAACGCCTTGGGAGTAGTAAGGTACAGCTTGCTATACTAGAGCCGTTCGGTATACAAGGAAGGTAATGTGGCTACTACGCTTCAACCGCCTATTATTACCTCAGGATTGTGAATCCCAAATATTCATTTAAGGCTGAGTCGACCTAGGTACCCAAACTATTTTATTTAATAAAAATAGTCGGCTGATGAAATGCCGGGTGTGGGAATCGAACCCACACCTTGAGATTGGTAGACGAGAGCCTGTACCTCTACGCCACCGGGCACCTTCATTCATGCACCGGGCATTTTTATGATACAAACCAAAAATACGAGGAATAAGTATGTTTTCCATGCATTCTACAACATATTTATTAATATTTATTAATCCGTAGTATCTAACTAGCGTGACGTTATAAATGTCGCTCCGAGGCTGTTCTATTAGAGACGGCATTGCGCCAGCATGACCGCAAGTTGCTAACCTAATAAAATTAACACTAGAAAAGCCCGCGGGAACTGTCAAATTCAAAGTTATTCGTTTCACAAACTATATATATGTTATAGAAATATTTTTTATAGTTTTCTAGGACACATTTTTATAACTTTTACAGTTACTTTTCGATTTATTGTAAAGTTTTAAAAAAGTTGATTTTTTGATTTAAATCACCTGATTAAAATAAAAAAAATCACTTGATTTAAATCACGATTTAAATCATGATTTAAATGCCAACTCTGATAGCATATGCACCCTGATCCTAAGTACCTATACCTATACATATCTGGTTTGATGGGGAATAAAAAAACAAATATTACTAAAACATATCATTGTATATATTTTATAAATGATTATAAAAATCTATAAAAGTCAATAAAATAAAAAAACAATAATTTTTATTTGAATTCTACGAATACTTATCTTTAAACAATTTGTATGGGCTCACAGGTACACTAGCTTCTTTTTTAGTTTCTTTAGATATTTTTTCTTCTTGCTCTTTAATAACTTGTTGTAGCCTTTCAATTTCTTTTGTGTGTTCGTCTTTCATAGATTCTATCAAATCGCCTTGTTCATGGATCCTCTGTTCCACTGTACTAAATTCTTGCCATGCCGATTTTTGAACATCCTAAATAAATATCTAAATGAATAAATAACTACCAAAACAGAAAAATGGAATTTAAATAATTTATCAAATTATCAAACCCTTTGCTTAATTTTATTACGATAAATAGATATAAAATATAAATAATATACAGTAGATATAATGCGATTTAATAAATAACATTTAAAAAAATGAAATTCTTGTCTGTGTCTTCCAATTATAAAAGGAAGACGCAGACGAAAAGAAGTCATACAAATTGTATTTTTTTAAATCTTATTGTTTAAACATCATTATATCAATATAATTAGTGAATAATCTAAACAACCTAATGTAACTTAATGTATACATATAGTCAGTCTATCTTTTATACAATTCAATGTCTAAATACCTTTAACTGAGATTTTAGGGTATCCATTTTTTGGGCCATGTCAGTGCCGAATTTTTTTACAGCCTTATTCTCTTGTTGTCTCATATTGAGGGCTTCCAGCAAGGTCTCTTGCTCAGCAACCAGTTCCTTGGCAAAAGTCATAGCTTTGTGCAACTGCTTCCTGCAAGCGCTCTTGGAAAGTTGGACTTCGTTCAGCGTATGTTCCAAATCTAGTTGGCGAGTTTCGGCTTTTCTTAAAAAGAGATTATTAAGTGGCCATTCACATTTTTGTCAAGAAAGGTTAAGGTTAATAGAACAAAATTGTATTATGTATTTAAATAAAAAAAAAAGTTTTAACTGGGGCAATTAAAATTTTTAAACAAAATTTATCTCATTATTTACCAATATTTATTATTTTATATACAGTGTGTAAATAAATAAAGGCGATAAGAAATACGTGGAATTAGATTATTGCTTTGGCGCAACGAAAACTTTAGACTGAGTTCACCATAATGTCAAGACGTGAAATATAACCAATAAATTCATTCACCCAGTCAAGATATGTTATGTGTTGTTAGAATTATCAAGATAATATGTTGTTAGAAAAAGTTAAAAATTGCATTCACAAAATATATATCTTTTTATTTCTTATCTGTTAAAATATCTGTCTAGATATAATCTCTTTTCTACATAATTTTCTTAAAAATAAGTTATTAAGTGGACATTGACATTTTTGTCAAGAAAGGTTAACAGAATAAAATTATTGTAATATTTAAATAAAAAAAACTGTTTTAACTGGGGCAATTAAATTTTTTAAACAAAATTTATCTCATTATTTACTAATATTTATTATTTTATATACAGTGTGTAAATAAATAATGGCGATAAGAAATAAGAGGAATTAGATTATTGCTTTGGCGCAACGAAAACTTTAGATTGAGTTCACCATAGTGTCAAGACGTAAAATATAATCAAAAAATTCATTCACCATATTATCAAGATATTTTGTTAAAAAAGTGAAAAAGTGCATTCAAAAAAATATGTATACAGGGTGTTTCAAAACAAATGCGAAAAACTTCAGGGGGTGATTCTTTGTTCAAAATAAAGGGTAGTTTGCTTCATAAACGTTGGGTCAAAAGTCAACCATTAGGGAGATATCGCGGTACAAAGATGGCGGAAAAATAATGTTCTTATTTTTTATCTTGAAAACGAAAAGAGATAGACTAATGGAATTTTATGGAAGCATTACTGTTATGAAAACACACTTTCTGGTAATTTTTTCACTTTTTTAAAATTAGTGGAAGGGGTTGAAATAAACTACCCCTATCATTCCTGTTAATGAAATTTAAAGAAAAATCTTATCAAACACATGCAAAAAAAAATAATTTTGATAGTTAGTTTATTTAGAAACTTTTTTTATCTCTTGTGTTTTTTTGATAAAACTCACCGATTTGAAATTAAAAAATAAAATGTAAAGCATTACATGTCAGGACAAAAAACATTTTTAGATAAAGAATCTAGTGGGCAGCTGTAATTTTTTTAGGAAAAAATCTAGTCGGCCGCTGTCACTCACTTTTTAGGATGTTTCTAATATTGTTTTATTTGACATTACCCTACTGCAATACGTTATTATCTAGATTATTATTATTATCATTATTATCACTAGATTCTTAATCTAAAAATATTTTTAGTCCTGACATGTAATGCTTTACATTTTATTTTTTAATTTCAAATCGGTGAGTTTCATAAAAAAAATACAAGAGATAAAAAAGTATATAAACAAACTAAACTAAATTAATTTTTTTGCATGTGTTTGATAAGATTTTTCTTTAAATTTCGTTAACAAGAATGATAGGGGTAGTTTATTTCAACCCCTTCCACTCATTTTAAAAAAGTGAAAAAATTACCAGAAAGTGTGTTTTCATAACAGTAATGCTTCCATAAAATTCCATTAGTCTATCTCTTTTCGTTTTCAAGATAAAAAATAAGAACATTATTTTTCCGCCATCTTTGTACCGCGATATCTCCCTAATGGTTGACTTTTGACCCAACGTTTATGAAGCAAACTACCCTTTATTTTGAACAAGGAATCACCCCCTGAAGTTTTTCGCATTTGTTTTGAAACACCCTGTATATATTTTTATTTTTATCTGTTAAAATATCTGTCTAGATTCGTATCTATTTTCTACATAGAGCATTTAAGAAGAGAAATTAAATATAAATACAGGATGGCGCTTCTCATACGCAGCGGAGGCTCCAAGGAGAAGAGAACGACAGTTTGTATTGAAATAAAATTTTGTAACCATATGTAGGTTAACTTAGAGCATGCTTTAAAAATATAGCGAGTTCTACAGGGTCTCCACAAAAAAAACTACACATCAAAGTTTTATTTTTTGTAGTGGAACACCTAATATATTAATTGATTTTCGGGGATTTCTGGGAGACAAATAAAGGTGAGTTTCATTAGAGAAGTATATGTTTAAAATGTAAGGTTTTTTTGGTTTGGTTAGGTTAGTTATAGGTAGATGGACATATTTATCATTTTCTAAAAATGAAGAACAAATTATAAATATCAATAAAAGCTACCTAAATTGGAATTTACTCGGTACAACCTAGTATGTAGTTAAAGTAACTATTGTATTTTAAACTAAGTTAAAACTTGACCCAAAAAGGTATACAGGGTGTGAGAAAAAATGAATATTGAACATTGGTTACATTTAAAAGCAAGTTACTATTTTATTTTAAATGGAACACCCAGTATATTATTCCGATATTCAATGTAAAATTCATGTGTCTTCAAAATACTATTAAGGTTACCTACCCCATAGACAAAGATCTTCCTAGATATTTTCATTTTTGTGATTTTGCGTCAGTAGATATCTATTATTTAATAAAATCTAGGCGGCTGGGAGATACCTTTTGTTAATTTCACAAAAATTAGGGGAATTAGAATAAAATATTGAACGGTAATAAAAAGGTACACGTTTATAACCTATTTCAATTGATACAGAATTACTTAAAACTAGATATAAATATATAATTATGTGACAAAAATTAGCTAGATGAAGTCAAATACTCAAAATATACTTCCTTTCCTGTTCACTGCATAAAATAATTCTCTTTTCAAAAGATATTTTCATGTTAAGAGGTATATGTGGAATTCTATTTCGAAAAGCAGCCACAATAATTTCTTTTATGCTGTCGGCAATACTTGTTCGGGTTTTGTAAACACTGTCTTTAACATATCCACGTAAAAAATTCAGACTACATAAATCATGAACATTTAAGTATTCTATTACTTCTATTCAACTATTATTTTTCTTATTCAACTTTTCTATTCTCTTTATTCTTCTTATTCAACTAATGTCATATCAATTCACTCTGATGTAGGATAAGTTTCCATTTTCGGCAAATTACTGAGATTATTTTTGATTTAACTGACAGAAAATAATAACTAGTTATTAAAGTTGTACTAATTTGATAGCTGTATTGAAGTAACGTCAGACATATCACAGTCACCTAGATTTTATCAAATAATAAAGATCTACTCACACTAAATAAGCACTAAATCATAAAAATAAAAATATGTAGGAAAATATTTGTCTAAGGGGTAGGTAACATTAATAGTATTTTGAAGAGACATGTTCCATTTAAAATAAAAGAGTAACTTCCTTTTAAAGGTAACCAATGTTCAATATTAATTTTGTCTCACACTGTATAACTTTTTGGGTCAAGTTTTAATTTGTTTTAAAGTACAATAGTTAAATAATAGATCATATTAGGCTACATCGGGTAAATTCCAATTTAGTTAACTTTTATTGAAATTTAAAATTTGTTCATTTTTAGAAAATGTTAAATATGTCAAACATATTACATTTTAGTCATATACTTCTCTAATGAAACTCACCTTTATTTTTCTCCTAGAATCCGAATATCAATTAATATAATAATATAGCGTGTTCCATTACAAAAAAAAACAACTTTGATGTGTAACTTTTTTGGGGACACCCTGTAGAACTCGCTATATTTAAAAAAATGCTCTAAATTAACCTACATATGCTAACAAAATTTAATTTCAGTACAAACTGTCGTTCTCCTTGGAGCCTCCGCGGCTATGAGAGGCGCCACCCTGTACAGAGTGGGTCAAATTCGACGCTTTTAAATAGAAACACCCTTTTCTATAGGAGATAGACAAAAACTAATATCGGTGTCTGGAGCTCAATTTTCATCAAAAACATGATGGTGAAAACCGCATATCGATATCTGTTACCGTTTCGGAGTTACGGGGTGTTTTTCAAAAATATGCATTTTTAACAAATCGCTGTAACTTTTTTGCTATAAAAAATTTTGTATTTTTATGAAAACATTTCCAAAGCACCTTTTTACGTAGAATTTAATGGTTTAAGTATAATTTTTTTCAAAATTAATAATTTAAGAATTATCAACAGAAAATTTGATTTTTTATATGGGACACCCTCTATATTTTTAACTAACTCTACTTTTAATTTATTGAAAAGAATTTAAAATTACCTTTCCAAAAATATAACACACTTGATATTTTGCTCGATTCCTCTTCGAGATATAGAGTATATAAAAATTCGACCGCTTTAAATAAGTAGGCTTTGAACGGCACCGGCTGTAATGCAAAAAACTCCTAGCTGTGAGCAGCAATTAAAACGAAAATAATATTTGCAATGAGAGATGCAGAATTTTATAACTATTTAAACTATATTTAACAACATCAACACATTTAAACTATATCTAATAACAATAAAAATAAATAGCAAACCAAGACATGAGATTTTGCTACAGATGTTCGATATATCGACCGTCTTCTGTTATGGACAGACGGGGCAGTTTTTGAACATTTCTCGCGGAATTCATTAACTCAGTAGGGGTGAAAGATACCCTCTCATAACTGCTAAGTGTTTCGAATTCTTGTCTAGATTATACGGAAGAATAAGGAACCTATATTCTTCCGCAAATATATCCATAGGATTAGATCCATGGGCACTAAATCAGGCGGCCTCGACGGCCAACAGCTGGGATCTTGGTTAGCTATTCAATTATTCTTGAAATTGACTGCAAAGATTTGCTGATAACTTCAGCGTTCAGGACAGTGCGTCGTCTTGCTGGAAAAATATGTTTTCGAGAGTTCCATTAAGGGCATATCGTCAATGCGGTCCAAAGCCTACTAGTTAAAGTGGCGAACTTTTAAAAATTCTGTATTTTGAAGGGATTATAACAAAATAT